GTTCAACCCCATGGGTGTTCTCACGTCCATCCCCATGGGTGTTCCTGCTCCCATGGAAGGCTGCAGCCCAATTCCAGGGGAGTCTCCAACCCCATAGGTGTCCCCATGTCCATACCCATGGGTGTTCCTGGTCCCATGGAGGGCCACAGCCCAATTCCAGTGGAGGTCTCCAACCCACAGGTGTCCCTGTCCCTATGCCCACGGAGATCCTCATGACCAAAGGATGTTCCTATGGAGGTCCCTCTCTACAGATGCTCCTGTCCCCATTCCCATGAATGCCCCCAGGCCCATCCCCGTGGATGTCTCTATTCCCATGGCAGTCCCCATTCGTCACCCCCACGGATGCCCTCATGCCCATTCCTGTGAAGGTCCCCAGGATGTCCTTGTCCCATCCCCATGGAGCTCCCCCATGGCTGTCCCCATTCCCCATCCCAGAGCCGGCCAGCAGGGCCGGATGCCGGATCCATGGGTGCTCACCCCTTTTCCATAGGGATGGGTGAGCCAGCCCAGCTCCCCATGTGCCTTGGCAAAGTCCAGCAGCACCACTGTGGGAGAGGAGAGAGGACAGGGACGTCAGCAGATGCCACCAGGACCTGCAGGTGCCACCAATACACCCCTCTGGCCCTTGGATGTTGGTCCCCCAGGACCCACAGACAACTCCAGGGAAGTCCCCAGGATGCGCAAACACTCTTGGGATCCACAGATGTTCCCAAAATTCATGGATGTCCTGGGCACCCACAGATGTCCCTGGGACCTGTGGATGACATCAGGACCCACGGATATCCCTGGGACCCACAGACATCCCACCAGGATCCCTGGATGTCCTGGGCACTCACAGACATCCCTGGAACCCACAGATGCCAGTCAGGAGGTTCCATGGATGTCCCCAAGACCCTGGATACCCCCAGGACCCACAGATCCACCCCATTTCCACAGACGTCCCCAAGAGCTACAGATGTCCCCAGCACCTCCAAACAGTCCCAGGCCCCACAGGTGTCCCCTGGACCCACGGACCCCCCGTTCCCGGCAGATTCCGCTGGACGAAGCCCCCCGGGGCCGCCCGCAGAGGCGGGGAAGCCGCGGGGCCCGGCGGGACCTGCCCTGGCACGCCGAGGGCGGCGGCCGGATCCAGCGCCGGGAGAGGAAGAGGAGGAAGAGGAGGCCGGGGAGGGAGCGGGGCCCCCCGGTGAATCACCCCCCAGGAATGCGCCCGGACGCCCGGGTTCAGCGGGAGATGGGTCCGGCGGGACGGGGCCATTTCGGGACGGATGCGACCCCCAGCTCCCGTGAACGGGCTGGCGTCCGGGTCAGGTTTGGGGGGAACCCCAGAACCTGCCTAAGGGGGACACCAAAACCTGCCTGGGGGACGCGGGTGGCTGCAGCGTCCCCCCCGCGCCGTGCCCGGGCTCAGGAAGGATGCCGGGGCGGATATCCCGGTTTTCCTGAGGCTGGAAATCCCCCCCGCGAGCCTCCGGAGAGCGGAAAGCTGCCGGAGCCAGGGCCGGAGCGGGCGGGGGTTCCCCGCCGGTGCCCCCGGGGGGGCTCTGGGGACGGTGCCGGGGCTGCTCCAGGGACAGCGCCGGGGCCGCAGCCCCGTCCCGGGAGTCACCTGTACCCACCGCCACCACCACCACCATCATCATCATCAAATTCTCCGTCGCCTTCGTCACCCGGCCACGGGCGCCCCCACCTCCAGTGCCACCAACCCTGTCGCCACCGTCAGCGCCACCCCCGTCCCATTCCCAATCCCATTCCGGCTGCATCCTTGTCCCTGTCCCCTGCCCTAACCCCATCCCAACCTTTGTCTGAATCTGACTTAAATTCCCACAGCGAACCCCAATCCCATCCCCTTCACTCCCATTCCTCTCCCCATCCCAATCCCATCCCTGTCTCTACCTTAACGAGAATCCCAATCCCAAAATGAATTCCATCCCATCCCCTCCCCATCCTCATCCCCTCCTCAATCTCAATCTGAACCCAATCATAATCCCAAAATTGATCCCATCCCAGTCCCAATCCTGCTCCATTCCCTCCTCTTTAACCTCCTCCCCACCTCAGTTCACCCCAAATCCCCCTGGATCTCACACAGGGGAACCAATCCCCCCGAAATCCCCAAATCCCACCACTCCCATCACTTTCCCTTTCCCCCCACGCACTTTTCAAACCTCAAATCCCAGTATTCCCTCCTGGGAAAGAGCACTGTGGGAACACACCCCAAATCCCACAGCTGCCACGGGATCACCCCCTCTGCTGTCCCCCAAAAATCCTCATTTTAGGGGTTTTTACCCCATTTTTAGTTTTCAGGGAGTATTTTCCATGCCAGCCTCTGATTTATTTGCATTTGGGGCGGAATTCTTCCACTTTACCCTCAAAAAATGACGGATTAAAGCCGTCAGGCAGAGTTTATAGAAACTCAATCCTAAAAAAATTCCAGGTATACACAAAAAAGTGAATTTCCCCCATTTTTTTGCACAACCCTGCCAAACTAAGCCCCAAAATCACCGGGGGAAGGGTTGCGAGGTGGAGGCCGAGACGCTGCTTGTTTTGTACCAGCAATTTTTTGGAATTTTCCTGACATTGTTTTCCAGCTCTCCGGCCGGATCCTACCCGACCCTGCACCACCCATGGGAAACGCTCCATTTTAAGGTGATTTTCCCCTTTTTGGGGGGGTTTATTTTTTAATCTCCCCCACCTTCACCCCTGTGCCAGCCTCCTTTGGGGGCTCCCGGCAGGACCTGGCCCCGGTGCATCGGTTCGACGCTCGGCACAGGAAAAGTTGCCCCAAACTCTTGGGTTGCGCCTTATTTTAACTTTTTTTCTCCCCATTTAAATTATTTCTCCTCTATTTTAGTTGTCCCCGCATTTTTGCTGCCCTCCCCCCGCATTTTTATCTACCCATACAACTTTTTAACTCTTCTCTCCCTTACTTTAACTTTCTCCCATTAATTCAACTTTTCCCCTTTTCATTTAAACTTCTCCGCCCTCATTTCAACTTTTCCCCTAATTTTAACCTTCCCCCCCTGCCTCGCCCCAAAGGCGCTCCGGCACCTGCAGATTCCCCACCGCACCCCAAACTGTGCGGGGGGAAGGGGGAACCCACATCCCCCTTTACCCTCAGAGCGCTCCCCGACTCCTCAGCTCCCCCAAAAACACCCGAACTTACCCCAAAACCACCCCACCCCGCAATAAAGGAGTTTCGGGGTGCTCCCCCCCATTAAAAAAAGTGTGGGACTCACCTTCCTCGGCGGCCAGGGGGCTGAGGGCGGTGAGGAGGAGGAGGGTGAGGGCCGGGGGGCTGCCCGCCATGGCGGGGCGGTTTTGGGGGGGTCCCGGGCGCGCCCCACGAGCGACGGCCCCGCGGAGAGTGCGGGGAGTGGGGAGTGTGGGGTGCGGGGCCGCGCGCCCGCTCCTGTTCATTCATGCCCCGCTGACGTCACCGGCCACGCCCGCTCTTAAAGGCGCAGCAGCCGCTCCCAGTACGCACCAGTACGGCACTGGGAGGGCGCGCGCCCCAGGGTGGGACGCGGCCGGGGGGAGGGGAGGGGGCTGTGGGAGCCCCCCCAAGGTGGGCCACGGCCCTGGAGGGGGTTCGGGGATCCCGCAGCCCCGCGGGGACCCCCCAAACCCGGTTCTGAAGGGGTGAACACGTCCCCCCCCCTCCCGCCCCCTCCCCTTTCATTCATGAATCGGCGTGGGAAGGGCGGGGGGGCGGCAGCCAATGGCTGCAGGGGGCGGGGCCACCCGGTTACTACCGGCCACGCCCCCCGCCCACCAGTTCGATACTGGGGGGTTTGGGGGGGACCGGGCTGAGGGGGCTGCCCGGGCCCCAAATCCTCAGCACCACCGTCCTCATGGACCTGCAGCACCCCAAATCCCACAGCACCCCAAATCCCATCACCCACAGCACCCCAAGTCCCATCACCCACAGCACTCCAAATCCCATCACCCACAGCACCCCAAATCCCACAGCACTCCAAATCCCATCACCCACGGCACCCCAGATCTCACAGCACCCCAAATCCCATAGCACCCCAAATGCCATCACCCACAGCACCCCAAATCCCACAGCACCTCAAATCCCACAGCACCTCAAATCCCATCACCTACAGCACCCCAAATCCTATCACCCACAGCACCCCAAATCCCACAGCACCCCAAATCCCATCACCCACAGCACCCCAAATCCCATCACCCACGGCACCCCAGATCCCACAGCACCCCAAATCCCATCACCCACGGCACCCCAAATCCCACAGCACCTCAAACCCTGGATCATCCGTTGCACCCCAAATCCCACAGTGCCCTAATCCCATCAATTCCAGCACCTCAAATCCCTCAGCAGCCCTGTCCCCATGATCCTGCAGCACCCCAAATCCTGCATTTTCCATAGCACCCCAAATCCCACAGCACCCCCAATCTCTGCAGCACCCACAGCACCCCAATCCCTTCACCTCTAGCGCCACAAATCCCCCAGCACCCCAAAACACCTCAAATCCCACAGCCCTCCAAATCCTGCACCCCTTTTCCCAGAATCCCTCTGCAGCCACATCCCCAAATATCCACAAAGCCCAAAACCTCAGGATCCACAACAACACCCCAAATCTGCCAATAGGCCCAGCACCCCATTCCATGATCCCGCTGAACCCCAAATCCCCCAGGATCTGCAGCACCCCAAATCCTGCAAGCACCCCCATTCTGTGATCCCATTGAAATTGAAATCCCCCAGGATCTACAGCACCCCAAATCCTGCAAGCACCCCCATTCTATTATCCCATTGAAATTCAAATCCCCCAGGACCTGCTGCATCCCAAATCCTGCAGCACTCACCTCTTGATGACCCCATATCCCCCAGTACCCCCAAATCTTCATTACCCCAGCACCCCCAAATCCCCACCCCCCAAAACGTACAAGTCAGGCCACCCATGATCTTTTTCATAGAAAATCATTGATTTTAACAAAAAAACCACCTTTTTACCCCACCCACCCCCCAAACCCTTCCCAAGAGGGGGTTCAGGTGGGGGTGTCCCCCGTGTCCCCGGGGGTGACCCCGGCGGTCACTTGGTCGCGCCGCCAGAGCTCCTCCACCAGGGCGTCCAGGACGGGGCCGACCCGGGCCAGCCCCGCGGCGCCCCCGGCCCGCAGCACCCGCAGCCCCTGCGAGCCCTCGAAGGCCCGAACGTCCCCCTCGGTCACGACCGTGTGCGGGGCCAGGTCGAATCTGGGGTGGGGAGGGGACACAGGGTCAAGGGAAACAGCAACGCCCTGGAAAATCCCCCGAGAAACACCCGAGGTTCACGGGGAGTGTTGAACTCATCGGTGTAACCACGTGGGAGAGTTCTCTGCCTGCCCAGGGACTGAGTGGTTTGGGATCTGGGGGTGCAAAGCTGACTGGGGGGGGATGCAGGGTCAGAAGAGACCCAAAAAATCCCCCCAAAACCCCCTGAAAATAAGTGGGGGTTGTGACCCAAAGAAACCCTATAAAAATCAATGGGAGTTGAGGGCCCATCAGTGTAATGAGAGTTGCACGTTCCCAGCATTGAGTGGTTTGAAATCTGGGGGTGCAAAGCTGATTGAGAGGGGGATATGGGGTCAAGGAGACACCAACACCCTGAAAAATGACCCCAAAACCACCTGAAGAGAAATGGGGATTGTGAATCCATTGGTGCAATGAAATGTTGTAGGTTGCTGAGATAACAAGTGCTGAGAAATACTGGGGTGCAAACCTGACTGGGGGGGGGGGACACAGGGCCAAGGGAGACCCAGAAAATCCCCCCAAAACCCCCTGAAAATAAGTGGGGGTTGTGACCCCAACTCCCCCTCAAACCCTCTAAAAAATCAATGGGAGTTGAGGACTCATTGGTGAAATGAGAGCTGCACATTCTCAGTATTGAGTGGTTTGAAATCTGGGGGTGCAAAGCTGATTGAGAGGGGGATACAGGGTCAAGGAGACACCAACACCCTGAAAAATGACCCCAAAACCACCTGAAGAGAAATGGGGATTGTGAATCCATTGGTGCAATGAAGTGCTGCACATTCTTGGCCTGCTAACAAGTGCTGAGAAATATTGGGGTGCAAACCTGACTGGGGTGGGGACGCAGGGCCAAGGGAGACCCAGAAAATCCCCCCAAAACCCCCTGAAAACAAGTGGGGGTTGTGACCCAAAGAAACCCTCTAAAAATCAATGGGAGTTGAGGGCCCATTGGTGTAATGAGAGTGGCACGTTGAGTGGTTTGAAATCTGGGGCTGCAAACCTGACTCGGGGGGGATATAGGGTTAAGGGAGACACTAACACGCCGAAAATCTCCTTTAGGGTGGCAAAACCCCCTAAAAATAAGCAGGAGCTGTGAACCCATTGGTGTAACCTTTTGTGCACATTCTCAGCCTGCTGGGATACCAAATGCTGAGAAATCTGGGGGTGCGACCCCATTTTGGGGTGGGGAGTGGGGTCAAGGAACACCTAAAAAACCCCAAAACCCGGTGAAAATCAGCAGAAGTTGGGGATCCATTGGTGTGCCATTCTCAGCCCCTGCCATGCCAAGCACTGAGAGCCCCAGGGGTGCAATCCCCCCGCCATGGGGTGACCTTTGGGGACCCCCCAAAAGGATACTTGGTGCCCACGACCACCCTGACGAGGTGGCGGTCCCCGGGGCCCAGCACGCGGCCCATGAGCGCCGGCAGCTCCTCGAAGGACGCGCGGTCCGTGAAGGAGAACAGGAATAGGGCGGCGTCCGCCTCCTCCTTACAGGCCTACAGGGCACGGGGACACCGCTCACCGCGGGGTCCTGCCGGTGTCCCCCGCCCCAAAACGCGTCCCCAGCCCCAAAACGCGTCCCCCGCTCACGGGCAGCAGGTGCTCGAACTTCCTGAGCGCTCCGTCCCCGCAGTCCCAGAGGTGCAGCTGGAACAGGACGGGGCGGCCGCTGCCGCGGGGCTTGGCCGGCCAGAACAGCGTGGTGGCCTCGATGCCTGCGGGGACAGCGGGACTGTCAACCCCGGGCCATACACAGGGTCTTGTGGTGGCCGGGGTGGCCTCGAACCCTGTGGGGACAGCGGGATTGTCACCCCCGGAGCAACCCGGGCCATACACAGGGTCTCGTGGTGGCCGGGGTGGCCTCTAGGCCTGTGGGGACAGTGGGACTGTCACCCGCGAGACACCCCCAGGGTCTCATTGTGGCCTCGATCCCTGCGGGGACAGCGGGATTGTCACCCCCGGGACACCCCTGGGTTATACACACAGGGTCTCATGGTGGCCAGGGAGGCCTCTATGCCTGCGGGGACAGTGGGACTGTCACCCCCGAGACACCCCGACCCTACCCAGGGTCTTGTGGGGGCCGGGGTGGCCTCGAACCCTGCAGGGACAGCGGGACTGTCGCCTCTGGGCCCTCCCCCCGGCCGTACCCAGGGTCTCGTGGTGGCCTCGAACCCTGAGGGGACAGCGGGACTGTCACCTTCGGGACACCCCTGGGTTATACACAGGGTCTCATGGTGGCCAGGATGGCCTCAATTCCTGAGGGGACAGCGGGACTGTCACCAACGGCACCCCCCCAGGGTCTCATTGTGGCCTCGATGCCTGTGGGGACAGCGGGACTGTCACCCTCGGCCCCTCCCCAGGGTCTCGTTGTGGCCTCGATGCCTGCGGGGACTGTCACCCCCGGGTCCCCCCCAGCCGTACCCAGGGTCTCGTGGTGGGCGGGGGGCGCGGGGGTCCCCCCCAGCCAGGCCACCAGCGCTGTCTTGCCGACGCCGCTCCTGCCCGCCAGGAAGAGTTTGTAGGTGACCGTGGGCACCGCCAGCGCGGGCGGCAGCGCCGGGCGCTCCAGCAGACCTGGGGAGGGGTTCGGGGTCAGGCTGGGGGGCGCACAGCCCGGCTGGGGGGCGCAGGGGGGGCACGCACCGAACACTCTCCGCTGGTTCTTGTGCACGATGGAGTCCAGGTAGGGGCGGCCGGCGGGGGACAGGAGCCAGCCCGGCTCCAGCGCCCAGTCCTGCTCTGCCATGGGCCCCCAAACCTGGGGGACGGCGAAGAGCCCCCCTTCCCCCATGGGGTCACTGCATGTCCAGCTTTGGGGGCTCCTTCTGACCCCACCCCAAGGTCCAGGCACCCTTCCCAGGGCCCCTAAATCCTCCATCGGGCCCCTAAAACACCCCCCGTGTCCCAGTATCCTCCCCAAAACCACCCACGGGGTCCTTGACACCCTCCTGTGGGCTGCCTGCCCCCCTTCCATGGGGTCTGTGGCCTCCCTATGGAGTCCCTGCACCCTCCCATAGGGTCCCTGACCCCTCTCTGGGGTTCCTGTCCCCCTCAGTGTCTCCCCAGGGTGTCCCTCACAGCCCCATACAGGGTCTCTGTGCCCTTCAGTGTCCCTCCATCCCCCCAGAGTGTCCCTCACACCCCACACAGGGTCCCTGCACCCCTCAGTGTCCCTCCACCCTCCCAAGGTGTTCCCCACACCCCACACGGGGTCCCTGAACTCCCCCGAGGGGTTCCTGCCACCCCCGCGGGGTCTGTGCTTCCCCCAGCTGATCCCGTGCCCCCACAGCACTTAGGAGGGGGGACCCAACCCCTGTCCCCTCCCCGGACCCGCTGCCCCCCAAATCCCCCCCCATGCCTTGTCTCCCACACCAATTTTCTCGTGCGGTCCCTTTAAGACGCGGCACCGCCGCTCACCTGAGGCAGCTTCCGCCTCGTCGTGACGTCACGAAAATAGGCGGGGCGCTACGGAGACCACGCCCAGGCACAGCTGCGCGTGCGCGGTGAGTTGGGGGCACACGGGGAGTGACCCCGGCCCTGCGGATTTTGGGGCGTCCCCATCCCCACTTACTGACATCGGAATGATTTGGGGGGTCCCCATCCCAGATTACTGACACTGCAGTGATTTGGGGGTCCCAATCCCAGATTACTGACACTGCAATGATTTGGGGGTCCCAATCCCAAATTACTGGCACTGCAATGATTTGGGGGTCCCCATCCCCAGTTGCCAGCACTGCTGGGATTTGGGGTTCCCAGCTGCCAGGGTTTCCAGGCTTTGGGGCCTCCCTCATCCCTAATCACTGACACTGGAAGCTTTGGGTTCCAGCATCTCCCCCACTGGCAGGACTTGGGGTCCCAGTTTCCAGCCTCAGCAGGTTCTAGGATCCCCATCCCCATTTCCCATCTCCAACAGGCTGTGAGATCCCCAGTTCCCAGCATTGGCAGGATTTGGGGTCCTCATCACCAATTTCCAGCCCCAACTGGCTTTGGGGTCCCATTTCCCAGAGCTGGGAGGCTTTGACATCCCCAGTTACCATCTCCAGTCTTTGGGATCCCCATTCCCAGTTTCCATCCCTAACAGAAAGGTTTGGAAACTGGGAATTCCAGTTCCAGTTCTCCATTCCCAGTGCTGACAACCTTTGGGTCCCTGTCCCGAATTTCCAACCCTGGCAGGACCTGGGATCCACAATTTCCAGCACAGGCAGGAGATCGGTTCCCCAGTTCCCAGCCCTAGCAGGTTTTGGGGTCCCATCCTAAACTTCCATCTCAAACAGGGTTTGGGATCCCTGAATTCCCAGCTCCAACAGGCTCTGGGATCCCCAGTTTCCAACCCAAACAAGCTTTGGGGTCCCCATCCCCAATTTCTGGCTCAAAGAAACTTCAGTGTCCCAAATTCTGTGTCCCCCTTTGCCTCCCTCCACTGCTCCAACATCCCCTGTACAAATATTTCCCTTCTCTTACACAAAGACCCCAAATCCCCCCTTTCACCCCCAAACTTATGGCAGCACAGCAAGAACTCCCCCTCCAAATCACTCCCACCCCTCCCCAAAAGCACCAACCATCCGTTTCTTTTCCTTTTTATTTGTTAAACCACTAAAAATTCGTTGGGAAGGCGGGGAGGGACCCCCATGAACCCCCCCAAAATGTACACAAGATTTTAAATATCACCGGAATCGCTTCCCATTGCTGCTCTCGGCCCGGGAGTGACGGGGGGGACACCTGAGTCGCGGTGGGTGGGGGGACACCTCGCTCACAGCACCAGCAGCTCCCGTGGGACTCGGGGACAGGGACCCAAATTTGGGGTGAATCTCTCTGAAGGAAGGGCACAGAACATGCATCTCCTGACGGGGAACCCCGGGAGGGGAACCCCGGGAGCGGGGCAGGGTGGAAAGTGGGAGAGCAGCCCTGGAGGGATGCTCTGCAGGGAGAAGGACATCAAGGTGCTATCCATCCCCGGCTTTGACTCTTTTTTTTGGGGATGGATGACAAAAAACATGCAAAGGGGACGTGGGGATCGATGGCGAAGCCTCGACCGCCTTCCCCGCGGCCATCGCGTGGAGAGGGAAAATTCCAAAATTCCACAGCTCACCCGAGGTGCTCCTGAGGTCTGGGGATTTTTTTGTGGGGAGAGGAAAATTGAATTTTGCTTTCCCAAATCGTTCTGGGATGAATGGAAGAGGATTTGATGAGGGGTTTATTTACAGAGGTGGAAACGCCGCGGGTGAAGCAAATCCCTCCCCGTCCCCACGCGGCTGGGATGGGATTTAAGGCTCCGACCGGCAGAAAGCTCAGTGGGGATGGAGAAGAAAAATTTCGGGAAGAAGGGACCACGTCATGGCGCTGCCGGCTTGGGGAGGGCTCCCTGGTTTGAGGGTGCTGGAGGTTGTTGACCAAAACCTGGCAGAATCCGCCCCGTTTCCCCCCCTTGGAGGGGACAGGGAAGGAGGGCTTGTCCCAGAAGGACGCACAGGTTCAATCCCTTCGGATTTGGATTTAATCTTTGCGGAAGGAGGCACGTGCAAAGATGAGGTGAAGTTACTGCATCGAGGCTGCCCTCACATTTACCAGGATCTGTCCTTTTCCCTGGAAAACCCACCCTGCTCCCGGGCTCCAAGGGGTTGCTTCAGCCTTGAACGGGTTTGGGCCGTTCAATGAAATGAAACCTTAAAGTCTAGAAGGGAATTGGCAGCCAAATGTCTCTGTTTTGGGGGAATAACAGTATTTTCAGAGTATTTCTGCTGGTCAGAGGGGATCAGGGCTGATCCCCGAGCCTGATCCAGCAGGGCAGGGAGAGGAGGGATGCTAACAATCAAGATTTTTGGCATTTTGACACAAAAAAAAAATGTCCTTTCCTCCTTCTTTTGGTCCTGCCTGGAGGACAGAGACGAGAGCGGCAGGTGAGAGGCAAAATAAAAAGGCATCATGTTTGTGTCGAGCAAAGGTTGGCAGCACTGGGAGGTTCCCAGAGGGATATTGCTGTTTTCCTGACGGAGTTGAGCATGGAATTAATCAAGCTAACAGCCTCCTGCCTGCTGCAATTTAGGTTATTCCTATAAAACCACTTCTACTCACAACCCACGAGGAATTTCGGAGAGACCGAGACTCACAAACACTTAAGAGAATAAACCCAGGAGGATCCTGGCTGCAGCAGAGGAATTCCCTGGCTGCTCTCCCCGAATCCTCGGGTCCTTCCCCGCCTGTACACACGACTGGGGTCTTACTGGGAACTGCCGGGGCAGTGCTGGAGCGTTTGCTTGGACTTTTATTGGTTTCCTGCTCCCTAATTCACAGTTTGAACGCCTGCGTGTCGGGAAGGGGCCGGAGAAGGAGGAGGAGCCGCAGGGATGGAAGGACGTGCGGCGGGCGGCGGCCGCATTATCTCTTTGCTCGCACAAAGTACAAGGCATTTGTTTTGGGGTAATATTTGACGTTTTGTTTCTTGTCCATCAGGCCACCGAATATGATCAGCTCCCCTCGGCCTTGCACCACCGTGTGTAAACTGGTCTCGGGCGGCCCCACCACGGAGCTGCTGTTGAACACTTTCCACTTGACTCGTCCCTGCTCCTTGGTGTCCTTAATGTCCAGCACGTACATCTGCATGGGCTTGCAGTTCATGCTCTGGTACAGCGGCTTGCCCACGTTCAGCGACTGCGGCGGGTGGTGCCCGAGGCGCCGGGCGATGGGGGGCAGCGAGTGCCCCTCGCCCTGGGTGCTGCTGGGCCGCACGGGGCCCGGCTCGGCGCCCGGGGAGCCCGGGGACGAGGCCAGGGGAGGGCTGAGCGCGGCCGAGGCCGAGGCGGCTTTGGAGGAGAGGGCTTTGACGGCCTCGAGGCTGCGGCGCAGCGCGCCGGGGGACACGGCCCCGGGCAGGGCGGCGTGGGGCGGGGTGTGGATGCCGTTGGTGTGCTCCGGGGGGTTCCGCGTGCCCGCTGTCCTGCCCTCCGCGCCGTCCAGCTGGCACAGGAGGGACGTGGGCTTCTGCTCCCAGCCCAGCTCCACGGAGGCCAGGCGCAGATCCCTCTGCTCCGGCAGCGAGCCGCGGCGCGGCGCCAGGGCCGGCCCCACCTTGAGGTCGAATCCCTCGGCGGCCGAGGGGGTGCTGGGGGACAGGGCCTGCACGGGGCTGTCCAGGGAGGCCCCGCCGGGCGGCGCCGCTCCGGGTGACACCGTGCCGCCGTTGAGCACCGGGGAACTGTCCCCTCTGGCCGGGGACAGGCTGCCCTCCCGCGAGCCCGACGGCGTCTGCCTGCGGGGCCGCAGGGTGCCCCAGCGGCCGTTGACGCAAGGAGCCTCGTCCGTGTTCCTGACCGGAGACTGGGAGCGGAATTCCCGCGTCTCGGGCACCAGGGCGGGCGGCGTGGCGCTGATGGGGGACGGGCGGGAGTTGAGGCTGGGGCTCAGCGGGGCTCTCCCGCTGGGAGCTTGGCTGAAGACCACGACGCACTGCCCCACCTGTGGGAGAGCAGGGAGCGGACATCAGGAGGAGCCTTGGTGCTGGGGAGAAGAGGTTACGGAGCATTTTGGGCAGGGAATAAAGAGGGAGGGGTGTGTGTGAGGGAACAGGGACCCCCCGTGTCCGTACCCTGCAGGCAGGATGGCACCACAGCTCCGGGGCTCCGTGGTCCTCGTTCTCCACCTTGAGCGGCTGCCACGTCCAGGGGTTGGCCTGCATGTGCAGCAACCAGGCGTCTTTGAACAGCTGGGGAGGGAAGGGTCACACATTCAGGAGTCTGGGCTGGAATTCAGGAGTCTAGGCTGAGATTCAGAAGCCCTGGCTGATCCCAGGCTGAGATTCAGGAGCCCAGGCTGAGATTCAGGAGCCCAGGCTGAGTTTTAGCCCAGTTTGCTGCTGGGCTCAGCCCATCAGGGCCATGGTGGGAGCGGTGCTTTGCTGCTGCAGACAGAGGATGCTGACCCAGAGCAGGA